ATCTCTATCCCCTTAAGATTGTAACAACTTTGTCTTTTAACAAAATTTCTTTGGATATTTATTGGTAATGTGTTATTTTGAGCCCTATACATAACTGATAAAATACTATAATCTACTAAATCATGGAACTTCAATAACTTCAGTTGATAAAATAATGTGCTTGATGGGTGACTGTAATGCTTTCTGGTGATAATTCTTATAGCTCTTTTCTGTAAAATAAAAATAGGTTTTGTAAATGTTTTACATGCTTTCCCCCAAACATCAATGCTATAGATTAAATGTGGAACAATGATTGTGTTATACAACATGTACAGAGCTTTATCATTTAATAATTCCCTGACTTTGTATAGTACTGCAATAGATTTAGATATTTTTGTTCTTACAGAATTGATGTGATTTTTCCATGTTAGCTGTTCATCAATGATTACACCCAAAAATTTCATCTCATTAACTCTACAAATCTCAACACCCTCAATTTTAAATGGATCATCAACAGTTCTCTTTTTGTTACTAAATATCATGTATTTAGTTTTGTCTAAATTTAATGATAATTTATTAAGTTTAAACCAAGTTTGTATTTTATCAAATTCTGTCCTCATCAATTCCAACATCCGTTTTACATCTTTACTCAAACAAAAAAATGTGGTGTCATCTGCAAAAAGGACACATTTGATGAGTCCTGATACATTCACTAAGTCATTCACATATAAAATAAATAACTTTTGTCCAAGTACAGAGCCTTGAGGAACTCCACAAGTGATATTGCACAGGTCAGATCTTACACCATTTATTTGTACAAACTGTTTCCTATCTTTTAAATAGCTAGATACCCAGTGTAATGCTGGTCCTCTTATACCATATTTATTTAATTTTTCAAGGAGAATAGTGTGGTCAATAGTATCGAATGCTTTTTTTAAATCAACAAAAATACTAACACAATACTGTTTTTGATCGACAGCAGTAGTTATTTGTTCTATTATTTCCAATGCCTTGGTGACATCATTCAGCCAAGGTTCTGATCTGAGTTTTGTTTTTCTGGTTTTTACAGGAGCACCATGATCCAGAGCCTTTAAGCAGACAGAGTTGAACTGGGATGCTAGCTCCTCAGTGGTGGTGAGAAACACTTGGGGATGAATTATAATTTCAGAGTTATGAACATATGTGAAACACGTGGCAGTGAAGCGGTTAATGGCCCAGCTACAACGTGCAGGAGTGCATGGCTTAGGAGTTAGATGGGGGGAGGTGAATTCAAACTAGACTGGAATGTCTTCTGAAAACACAGTGACACCAATTTCAAATCTGCTAACTGTCACATCACGTGCTAAAACAAGGTCCAGTGTGTGCCCGCGCTCCTGGGTGGGACCGTTTACCTGCTGAGTTAGATTAAACAAGTCCAATAAATCTAAAAAAGTATTTAACCAAGGGCTTCTCCTGACAACAAACATGAATATTAAAGTCCCCAATAATCAATGCATGAACATATTTCGGTGTGATTTCAGCCAGGAAGTCGGAGAATTCATTTATGAAATCATTGGATCAAAGGGGGCGGTAAACAAGTGCGCACAGAGTTGAAGGCAAGTAGCCAAATTCAAAGACAATCAGCTCAAAACTGGAGTAGAAAACCGGGATGGGCAGTTGTTTACCGTCAAAGTTTGATTTGAATATTGTTAATAATCCACCACCACGCCGTCCTGATGGCCACGGGGCATTAAAATACAGACAGTCTGGGGGTAATAATTCCATCAAGGCGCTGGACACACTGGGAGACATCCAAGACTCTGTGATGCAGAGAAAGTCCAAATTGAGCTCTTGAAAGTAGTCCCTGAGGATAAAAGTTTTGTTGATAATGGATCTTGAGTTGACCAAAGACATCATGGTACAGTCCAAAGTGGACCCAGCAGCAGTGGAAGGAGCGTGCGCCAGCGGCCACAGATTTTGAACATAAGCACCTCCAGGTCGGGTCGTGCACCATGCCGGTAGACAACTCGTGTTGTTTACATGATCAGGGCACGTGGGTAGCTGGTCAACAGCAGGGCCCCAGACGCACAGGTCTGGGAGGCAAGGATAAGATCCACATCCAGAACGAGCCTCAGCATCTTTGGCAGAATATTCCACACGGTGGCTCATTTTCACCAAAACTCCAGCGTGCTTTCCCCGATGTCTGAGGTGTCTCCTCCGTGGAGATGGGCCAGGGTCACAAAGCAGGAAGGCAGGTATCCCGGACAGGACCAGAGGGAGAGAGTCCCAACCGTTGTGAAGAAGCTCTGCAGGCAATTCTGCAAATGTATGAAGCTCCAAAAGTGCCCGACTATCATATTGCAGATATGCGTCGACACACTGCAAAACACACTGTACAACTAATAAAAACAAAATCAAAGCAGAGAGCAATGCACGGCAAGCCCTACACACCAGCGCCATCATTATAGTAATATTGCCACGCTGCCAGGGCCATGAAACTTTAGAAAGGAGCAGCACGTGTGGATGTAACAGACATCACAGAGGTAACATAATCTGCATTATATTATATGTGGAATTTGTATGAGGACTGTATGGTGTTTTTATTGTAATGTTATTTTATTCATCCATCCATTTTTTTCCGCTTATCTGGGGTCGGGTCATGGGGGTAGCAGCTTGAATAGGGAGGCCCAGACTTCCCTTTTCCCAGAAACTTGGGCCAGCTCCTCCGGGGGAATCCTGAGGCGTTCCCTGGCCAGCCAAGAAACATAGTCCCTCCAGCGTGTCCTGGGTCTTCTTCTGGGTCTCCTCCCGGTGGGACGTGTCCGGAACACCTCACCAGGGAGGCGTCCAGGAGGCATCCTAACCAGATGCCCGAGCCACCTCAACTGGCTCCTCTTTGGAGCCACCCACCTTTGACCATTGTCCATGGCATCATGCACCTGACTCTTATAGCCCTTCCTGCAGGTGGTGGGTCCACAGGAACGCAAACCCATGCTGCTCCTTCGGGCTGAGCCCAACCAAGCCCCATGGGTGGAAAACCAGTCACCAGGTGCTTGCCAACGGGCTCCTCCCCCTTGCCTGGCTCAGGGTGGGGCCCCGGTAACCAACATCAAGGCAAGGGACACTGAGTTCCTTGTTTTATCTTGTCCATAAAAATCTTCAGAATCACTTGTTTTCTGGCCTGTCACCTAGGACCTATCTGCCTTGGGAGACCCTATCAGGGGCAATTACAATTGTCCCCGACAGCATAGCTCCTAGGATCATTCAAGCGCACAAACTCCTCCACCACAATAAGGTGGCGATTCAAGGAGGAGGATACAAATTTGGTACCAAATTTAAATAACTTTAAAGTCTCAAAGAGGTTGTCCCACTCCACCATGTCAAATGAATTTTCTGCATCTAATGAAAGAATGACTTTGGCACAGGTGTGTTTGAGTGGACTATGAGTGTACAACTCATCAAGCAGCCGCCTAAAATTAAAGAAAGCCTGACGGTTTTTAACAAACCCTGTCAAGTCAGGTGAGATGATTGTGAGGACCAACCGCTCAAGTGATTTTGCCAGGATCTTGGCAAGGATTGTAACAACAGTATTTAAAAGTGAGATAGTGAAGTCACGTCAGGTTTATTTATATAGCACATTTAAAACAGGAGCTGTTATCAAAGTGCTTAGCAAAAAGATCACAGTATCACAAAAAAGATATTACAGAATTAAGAATAAAAACATAAAAACACAAAAGATAATCAGAAAAAAATGAAATACTAAATCAGATCACGTTGTGTTAGTTGTCAAGGAAAAAACGATGTCCTCAGTAAAATAAAGCTGTCTTTCATCTCCATGATGCCCATAGTAAAATAAAGCTGTCTTACATCTTAATGTTGTTTTCAGTAAAATAATGAGATAATGACAATAATGACAACCTCATCTGGGGCAACACCACCACCAGCCTGGGCAAGAAAGCTCATCAGAGACTCTATTTCCCAAGGGGGCTGAGACGAGCTGGTCTGGGAATCTCAGTCCTCACCTCCTTCTACAGGTGTGCAGTGGAGAGCATCCTGTGCTCCAGCATCAACGTGTGGCATGGAGGCTGCACAGCTGCAGAAAGAAAAGCTTTGCAGAGAGTGGTGAAGGCTGCACATAAGATGTTGGAGTCAGTCTCCCCACCGTCACAGACATCTACACCTCCAGATGCAGGAAGAGGGTCACCTGCATCATGAAAGACCCCACTCACCCAGCACACACACTTTTTGCCCTGCTCCCCTCAGGAAAGAGGTTGAGGAGCATTAAGTGTAGAACCACTAGACTGAGGAACAGTTTCTACCCTGAGGCTGTTAGACTCATGAATATCTAACCAGAATAAGCACTGTGAAAAATCACATCATGTTGCTGCTGATCTGTTTCAATGTTGCTGCTGATCTGTTTCATGTTGATGTGTTCATGCGTGCTTATCTGCTCACACAGACTCGTGCTCATGTTCGTGCTGCTGTTCGACGTAATGTTTTTATGCTACTAGTGCTTAGTGTATTTTTAGTTGATGTTTTTCTTAGTTCATATCTTAGATGTTATCATTGTTTTTCTTATACATTTTATTGTTGGATGTAACTGGGACCCTGTGTACATATTTTTTCTCCACCACATGTACCACCTGTGGCGGAACGACAATAAAGAATCTCTGACTCTGACTCCGACTCTGATAAACTAGCCTTACAACTTAATGATGTTCTCAGTAAAATAAAGCTTTTACATCTCCACGATGCCATCAGTAAAATAAAGATCTTACGTATCCACGATGCCATCAGTAAAATAAAGCTGTCTTACATAGCCATGATACTATCAGTAAAATAAAGTTGTCTTACAACTCCATGATACAATCAGTAAAATAAAGTTGTCTTACATCTTCACGATACCATCAGTAAAATAATGCTGTTTTACATCTCCACAATGCCATCAGTAAAATAAAGATCGTGGATATCTACGATGCCATCAGTAAAATAAAGTTGTCTTACATAGCCATGATACTATCAGTAAAATAAAGCTGTCTTACATTTCCACGATGCCCTCTGGGAGGTTTGCTGGTATGTCTGTGAGGCCTTTCCGCCGACAGTCCACAATGTTGCTGTTGCAGGTGCAGGTTGGTGGACACACAGCTACCTGAGGAACGCACACCCTTGACTCTGTCTGTGCCACACCTGAAAACAGCAAAACACACAAACTAAACCATGTATCCTAAATAAAATGTTATTAGTGATATCACAGTAAATATGAGATTTGTTCCAAATTGTTTATTTCTTTAAATAAAAAAAAGGACCTTTGTTCTGTAGTTAAATACAATTAGGGTAGAAATCATTTTTATTATTTTTTTTAATTTTATTTTGTCTCGTGAAAATTCTATAAAAAATAAAACATTGTTGGAGACTTCATTTATAAACGCACAGACCTATTATTCACCTCAGAAACAGGTTTCTTAACTTTATTTATTTATATCTTAATTTTTCCATCAATTTTAATGTGGCCCGATCCACAACGTTTACCCCCACATGTAATATCAAAACGACTGGCTTGGCGCCGGGATGTGTGCTATTACTTTTATTAGTATTTTTTAGTTATAATGGTGACGTAATTTGCTAACTAAAGCTTTATTTGCACGGGATTAGTTTTACTTAGGGACGACATGTAATAAATAAATTACTCCCCAACATCTGCTTTTTATGTGGCACATTTGCATGGGATAACCAAAGCCTGAGATTTACCTGAAATGTACGGACATCTTAACGGACAAGCTCGGTGCTGTGTTACTGCCAGCGCTAGCCAGCTGTATAGTAGTCTACAAACAGAAGAAAATTATTCTTACCCCACAGAGCATTGCATGATGTGAGCCACCATTTGCATATGATTTTACTCCTTCTCTTCAGCCTATCCTTTTTTTTGTGGAGACCGTTATGGGTCAATAGCTTTTTGCTGGTCCGGGACACAAAAGGTTATTTATGCACTCCAATGAAGTTTCCATTGTTAAAAGCAACTAAATGTTCACAGGAAACAAAAAAAACGTCTAATTACATATCAGACCCTGCCCATTTCTGTCCAAATCACAGAGATGCCTATTTGCATTGTATTAGTATTATCGGTAACTTTTTACAATAAGGTACACAAAATTTGATTGACTATTAGGGAACGCCTCAGGAACAAATCAGGAGCTAATGGGTAGTTAACCAGTACTTACTGGGAAACATCCTGATGCATGCTCAATAATCCAGGTAGAAAAATCTAAAAAAGTTCAATCTGGTCCTCTGGACATTCAAAAAAACAAAACAAAGCAAAACAACAAAAAAATGTAGAAACGTTTCGTCTCTCATCCGAGAGACTTCCTCAGTCTGAGCTGCTGTTTTCAGCTCAGTCTCTTAAATAGCACCTTCTCAGAGTGGATCAACCAGTTTGCTGCTGACAACCAAAACCAGCTGATCACATGCTCAAGAAGGACCATCAGCATAACAATGGATCATTAGCACCTGATGGCTGTTTACTATTCACAGAGGGCTGAGTGATACCAGCAATCACAGCATTGTAAGAGGGGGACAGTTGAACCCGGAGGCCTCCACCCCTGTTTAACGATGGACGGTTTCTTTTCACAAAGATGGCCTCCTTTACTCCTCTCTCAAACCATCATTCCTCTCTATCCAGGATGTGAACATCTTCATCCCTGAAAGAGTGACCGCTGGCCTGGAGATGAGTGTAGACCGCAGAGTCCTGGCCTGATGATGCTGATCTTCTGTGCTGGGCCATCCTTTTGGCCAGTGGCTGTTTTGTTTCCCCGATGTAAGACTGATCACAGCCCTCCTGACACTGAACAGCCAACATTTTACTGACCACATCAACTCTGTGGATAAATACATCAAGTTCACACGAGAAGATGAAAAAAATGGCAAGTTGGCTTTCTTGGACTGTGAGGTCTCAGTCTCTGATAGAGGACATTTGCAAACTGAGGTGTACCGCAAACCCACCCACACAGACCAGTATTTGCAGTTTGACTCCCATCACCCTTTGGAGCACAAGTTAGGAGTCATCAGGACTCTGTACCACAGAGCAGACAGCGTCCCCACTAGCTCAGGAGCCAGGCAGAAGGAGAAATCCCACACAAGACAGGCTCTAGAGCAATGTGGATATCCTAACTGGGCCTTCCTGAAAGCAGAGAAGAAACCCAAACAGGACTCCAGTCAGCCAACAGGTGAAA